TTTTCTGGTTGTCTATTCCATGTCTGGTTTTCTTTATGCTGGGTTTTCTGGGTTCATTCCTTTATTCCGTTCCTGGAATTCCCAGTCTCCTGGATTCCTTTAAATGTTTGTTTTTTTGTTGCCACACCCGTTCCTTTGCCTTTAATCCTTTTGTTTCAGTTGGTTCTTGCAGGCAGTGGTTTCATGTCCTCTGCCCCTTTCTTTGCAGGTAAGTACTGTGTGTGTTTTATTATTGTTTATTTAGTCATGCATATCTAGGCAGTTAGGACCCACCGTAATTGGAGTACTTTGGCGCAGTGTATGTCTAAATCTCCAATGTTTGTTAGACATATTAGTACTTAGTTGTGTCTCCTCTTGTTTTGCCTTGTATTTCTTGTCTTGTTTTAATTTGTCTTGTATTCCCAGTTCATGTACAGTCCTGTTCTGTCCATGTCCTGTTCATGTTTTCCTTATATACTGTGTAGATGTTCTGGGTTCTGCTTTCTGTCCTTCTCTGGTTCTGGGTTCTTCTAGTCTTCTCTTGCTATCTTCTTTGGTGCCTGCTCTAGTCTTGCCTTTTTTCTAGTACTGGATACATATCTACTGCAGAGCCTCCCTATTCAGATCCTGGGAGGTCTGCATATTGTCATCTGGCACCTGGGATCTGCAGAAGCTGCATTAGGGCCCTGGTATGTGGCACAAACCCTGTGTGGTTACCCTGCACCAGGCCCTTATAATCCATTTCCACACAGTGACTCCTACTATCAAGATCAGGCATACTGGGTCCCGGTCTCCGGACCGCCACCCCTGACATAGGGCATGGGTAGCTTCTGATTTGCACAACGGTTAAAAAAAGATAAAATAATATTCTTTTGTTTACCTGTTCTCATTAAAACTGTTTGTTAGTCACAAGGATATTCTGTGTGTCAGCAGTCAGGTTAAACTCATTCTGTAGAGCTGTCCTTAAATAAATTGGTGTTTAATTGCTCTCTCAAAGTCATCCTGTCATGACAGGATTTTGTCCCACTGCCTAGTTCCAGGCGGACCACGTGACCGCTCATTGTGGTCAGTTCACGCAGCCCGCTCAGAAAGGAAGATTGAGCCGCGTGCGGCATGTGTGGAAGCAGGACAGCTCGAGGACCCCGGCCGCCCCCTGGATAAGGTAAGTGCCGCCACACTTCCATCTCTGTCTCACTTCCATCTGTCTCTCCCCCATGTCTGTCTCCCTTGCATCTCCCTCCCCCAAGTCTGTCTTTCTTCTATCTCTCCCCCACCATATCTCTCTCCCTTCCATCTCTGTTTCCCTTATGTCTCTCTCGCCCCATGTCTTTCTCCCTTCCATCTCTCTCCTCCATGTCTTTCTCCCTATATTCCCCCCCCTTGTCTCTCTCTCTCTCCCCCCATGTCTCTCACATAGCAGAGGAGGGGGACCTCTGGACATTCACACCGGCGGCACTCTGATTCAGACTGAGCGCCAGGTAGTTACGTGACACCCAGCGCTCCTATGCAGGGCTGGAGGGGGAGGCACTCTCCCTTCCAGTGTACAGTGCGTGAGGTTCCCTTATAGAGCCGCATGCTGCCTGGGAGCTCCAGGAGCGCAGACGGAGGGGGCGCAAAAATCACTTGTCATATTGACAAGTGATTTTGCGCCCCCCCCCTCGGCTTGCGCCCCTGGCCGGAACCGGTTTAGTCAACCCCACGATACGCCCCTGCTTGTGGCTCTCAGACCTAACTCTTACTTGAATCGTCCTAGGAATCAGGGACCAGAACAGCCAACCAACACATCCAAAACTCTGTTACTGGGATACCACACAGAACACAGTATTTTATTTTCACTCAGGACTAGCTCCTACCCACATTACATTTAACTTATGGCGAAACACTCAATCCAATACATATAAACAAATCATATGGAGAAACATACAGGAACTCATAATAACACAATAACATATTCATAAAGAGGCAGGAAAGACAATGACAAACAAGAAATATATCTTATCTATTCGTTAAGGAGCTATTTCCTCTTCCTCCAAATCAACCGAGAGTGTCTCCTCCCTGGCAGACATTTGGTTCCAGAGAGCAGTGAAGTGTCTAGCGGGACCTATCAGTAACTCCATGGAACTACGACTCAGTCGCAGTACTTCACTTTTCTCTGCCAACTTATACCTCTGTTTTACCCCACTTCCCAAACTGCCAGGAGAGCGCTATTTGGAGGGGAGGTACTATGGACACAAATGAACAATCACTCCTTGAGAGCCATGGTGACCCCCCCTTTGTTTATCTGCAGGAGGTCCAGTTATTTGACCTTGCTCTGAAACTAATTTCTGCATGGACTATGTTAGCGGATGGTCAAATCTTTACTCCAGTGACGATTTTTCTATTCTTCGTGGATCCGGGCGCTATTTTGCCAACTTGGGTGCTCGGATCAGAGCTATCCAGGGATACATGAAGTGTTGAAGTTCTAAGTGTGTTTTTTGGGTATTTTATGTTGTGCCCTCTGTATCCGGGAGATAATTGGTTTTAGCGAGGGCTAACTCAATTATCTCACAGACACAGAGGCAACAAGGCTGGCTTACTCTGAGTTGAATAGGGACACTATTCTAGGGGTCCGTGTATTAAAGACTGTGCTTTCCTAATAAAAAAAACAGTTGTACTCCCAGAACTATGTGTCATATAGTTGTTGTGGAAAGAGTTATATTCACTAAACAGTGCTTTGAGGAGTTAGCGGAGATACTCAGCCAGAGTACTGGAGCTCCTCTACATGCACCATGCATCTATATTGAGCAAGAGTGACTTAAACATAAGAGTCATCCGGGGACCTACATGAAGTGTTTCTCTTGTGATGCTCCCAGTGATGGTGACTACTGTCACACCTGTTCTGATTAAAACTGTCAACTATAGAAATATAAAATACTTAGATAATTAGGGCTGGGAGACATCTCAATCCCATATAGCATCTGTAGGATGCGCTGGAACAACAAATCAAATCCATGGGGTCCCACCTTGAAACTTGCAGGACTTAAAAGATCTGCTGCTAATGTGTTGGTTTCAGATACGACAGGACATGTTCAGAGATCTTGTGGAGTCCATGCTTCAGCGCACCAGAGCTGTTTTAGCAAAACAAGGGGGACCTACGTGATATTATGCAAATGGTTTTAATATTGTGGTGATCAGTGTATCGTTGTGTGCAGAGCGGCATTTATTAATTTTTTTACATGATAATGCAGATATAAACTGGAATCTTGACAAGATAACATTACCTCTAAATATTGTTTGCTAATCTATAGAGTGAATTTTATAATTTATAGTGCCACTATGTCATTTTTGAGAAATAGCTTATATTTGTTGACCTCCACTAACCAAAAAGTATGAGGTAAAAATTGGAACCAATTTGGGTTTTGGCGGATCTTTAACCAACCTTGCTATTCTGATTAAACTACAAGACATAACATATCAGTATTCTGTAATTGTAACGAAATTCTATTCTTTAAAGTGTGGTTCTTATATGACTCCCTTGAAGATTTATTAAATGCAAAACCTCATAATCTATAAAATAAGATAACAGATTTTTGGAACTCAGTTTTAACCATATGTTACTTATTTTAAGCACTGTACATTAATTTTGGAAAAGGGTGTCCAAATACGTGTTATATATTTATAACATTTAAAATATTTCAATGGTTGACTTGCATTTGAGGTTAATTAATCATTGTTCCCCTTTCAGGTTCATCTATTCTCATATAAGCATGTGCTATTCCTTGTTTATCTAATAAAATCGCATCTGGGGAAGATAAACTATGGTTAATGAATGATTAATGTTATTCTACATGGCTAAAAAAAGAAAGGCAATAAATATTAAAAGACTTTTTGAAACATTAAGGAAATAAAAGGAGGAAAATCAAACACTACATGACCTACACAATGTTAAAAAACAAAACAAAAAAACCCACAAAATATTTTGGTTATAACGTAAAATTATCATTTTAATATGATAATTCTCAAAATTAAATAATTTGTATAGGCTGTGGGCAATGCATTTTGAACATAATCTGTGGATGCAACATATAACTGGCACTCTGTAAAATACACTATTTTAATGATATTATTTTTACTAGTTTGCTATTTTTTTTTTTTACCTTTCAGAATATTTTGTTTGACAATCTTTATTTTTAAATTTTGTCAGAAGGTATATATAGGTCAGATCATAACATCTTACAATTTAGGCAGCTTTCAAATGTGGTATCACGAGCATGGTCATAAATACTTATAATAGAATACAGCTTAATGACTGTTATGAGATTAAGTACCAGTGCCTGGTCCGGGACTGCATTAGTGTCCCCGAAACACATATATATCTGGGCTTGCGACACCAACACTGCCCTGCAGCGAGAGTACATTGTGTTCTAAAACACATTTCAGTACTAAAGCTCTAGCTGCAGCAGAGGGCCGCTATAAGGGACGTTAACTGTCTATGAAAGGTTCCTGAATTTCAAGGATTATATGATAGTAGTAAACTGGTTGGGGTAGTAGGTAGAAGCGAGTTATGGGGGGGTTGGGGTGAGGGCCCGGAGAGGAGAGCCTGGGGAAAAGTACATTTTAATTTTGTGGACTTTTTAAAACTTTTTTTCTTATGTAAGACTAAAAGGAAAATTTCTAGAATTTTTTTTTTTTAAATGGCTTGATTACAGTGAATTATACCATTATTTTATGAAGTCTTTATATATTTTGTCAGATTTTCCTGCTTTATATGGTTTTATTAGAGATGTTGATTGCAAGAAAAATATATTTTTAGTTTCTACTGCTTTGTTAAAATTATTTGAATTCTTATTTTGCATACTAAATTATCCTATGCCCATGGTATAATATATACCAAATTCCCTATAACGTATTAGATGTTAAAATCCGTAATGCTTTTTAAATAAAATAATATTTTCATAGTCATGAATTAGCAGATAGTTGTGAAAAGGCACATATTAACCTCATGATGACAGTCATACAAAAATGGCCAATGGGAGTTTTCTCTGCGAGTCATAAATACCTGGATGAAAGCTCCAGGAAGCTCCAGGATCCAATACCTTTTATTGAAATATAGGAACCTGACAACATTGTAAGGGGATGTCTTCACATCAAAAATGATTGGAATGATTCTTGGAATGACAATGGTGGCTGATGAAATTATGGTGAAATTCTTATGGCGGGGTACTAAAGTCCCCATTTTGAGTTTGATACCAACTCTTTTCTCTATAAATACCACCTCCTGACCCATGTATCTCTGCCCACTTAAAGGAACACTTAAGTCCCCAAAACAATTTTAGCTTAATGAAGCAGTTTTTTGGTGCATAGATCATGACTCTAACATTTCACTGTGTATTTCTCTGCCATTTAGGAGTTAAATTGCTTTTGTTTTTGTCCATCCAGCCCTAGCTATACCTCCCCTGGCTGTGACTGGCACGGTCTGCATGAAACAAAGCGATTTTCATTTTCAATCATTTTATCTCCTGCGCTGTAAACTGAACTTTAATTACACACATGTGGCTCATGCAGGGTCTAGCTTAACAGATCAGGAGATAAGAAATTATAAACTAAATAGAATTTGCAATAAAGGAAGTGTAAACATTAGAAGTCTATTTATAGGAAGTTTTTAGGAAGGCTGTGTAAGTCACATGCAGGGAGGTGTGACAAGGGCTGCATAAACAAAGTGATATATTTCCTAAATGGCAGAGAATTGAGCAGTGAGACTGCAAAGGCATGATCTATACACCAAAACTGCTTCATTAAGTTAAAGTTGTTTTGGTGACTATAGAGTCCTAATACTCCAATGAGACATCCCTGTTTAGAAACATAAACCTATATTTGCTTAGAACCCCTCCCCCCTCTCTGCACATACTTTACATATATGCAATGAAAAACGTTTGTTTATTTATAAAAATAATAATGTATCGCCAGGGCTCTAGTCCTGCAGGAACGCGTGGGAACGGCCTTCCTGCACTTTTTTTCACAGCAGGAACACCGTTCCCCCTGCAGGCACTCAGGGGGCGGCAAAAAATGCCGCCCCCAAATGCCCTGTGTTCCCCCTGTCATGGAGGGGCCACCTGATGGCCCCCCCGGCAGGCGGCTCTCTCCCTGTCATATGCGGCGAGGGAGCTGTGTTCTCTCTGCTCCCTCTCGCCACGCACCATTTTCTGATGCAGGGAGCCGGAATATGACGTCATGTTCCTGCTTCCAGCATCAGCAGACAACCCGCGCAGCAAGAGCGAGCAGAGAGAACACAGCTCCCCAGGGACCCATCCATGCCAGCTTTCCTAAAAGGTAGGGAGGCTGGGTGGGTGGGAAATGTTAATTTTAATAATATTAATAATTTGTATATATGTATGTCTGTGTGTATGTCTGTTAGTGTATGTATGTCTGTTAGTGTATGTGTGTGTGTATGACTGTTCATGTATGTATGTGTGTGTGTGTGTGTATGACTGTTAGTGTATGTATGTGTGTGTGTGTATGTCTGTTAGTGTATATGTGTGTGTATGACTGTTAGTGTATGTATGTGTGTGTGTGTGTGTGTGTATGTCTGTTAGTGTATGTGTGTGTATGTCTGTTAGTGTATGTATGTGTGTGTGTATGTCTGTTAGTGTATGTGTGTGTATGAGTGTATTTACGTGTGTGTGTATGAGTGCTGTTAGCGTATATACGTGTGTGTGTATGAGTGCTTTGTTTTCCTGGCACTATAGTATTTCTTTAAAAGGAGCAGGAAAAGGTGGAGTCTAAAGAGGGAGGGGTGGGTTCTTAATCAGGAAGCGGTGCGCCCTTAACAGGAAGGTGTGGTAAATTTAGATTACGGGGTGCTCAGGTATAGTCATGCCTAGGGCAGCACAAAATTTAAATACACCACTGTGTGAGTGTCTGAGTATGTGTGTGTGTCTGTGAGTGTATGTGTGTGTATGCATTTATATATGCATACAAGTGTTTTGGGTTTTTATGGGGGGGGGGGATTTCCCTCACTTTTTCCCCCAGGACTTGACCCCTGTGTATCGCTATCCATATTGCTGTCAGTTACTCTTTCTATCATTTGGATTTCTAACTTAGACCTGCTCTGTTGTCTGGAGTGAACTTCTGACTTCTAGCAAGGACTGCCAAACACACCATGTTACCTGATATCAATTATATGCATGGCCAGATTGGGAATGAAAAGCAGCCCTGGAAAAAAGTCTAAACCAGCCCATTATACGTTGCTCCAGCCTAGTGTTCAGATATAGAGGCAGAAAATATAACTTAAACTTGAAAACTAAAAACTATTACTCTAACATGAAAGAAGCACTCAAAAAACAAAAGAGCAAATTTATTTTAAGCATACATGCATTTGTATATAAGCATTGTTTCAGTCCAACTACCATGACATATTAAAAAATTTTGGTAATGGGACTGAAATGGTGAATGTATGTATGTATGTACAACTGTAAAAAATGAAGTTATCTTGTTTTGTTTGAAGTCCTATGAGTGTGCTCTTCACTTTGGCTGAGATCATTAAACTTGATAAACTCAGCTAATCCAATGCTTTCCGATAGAAAAGCAATGGGAGGCTATTGCGCATGCGTGGCAAAACGCGGCACCACTCACCGAGACGCACTCTATAGGGAGTGTCAATGCATCTCTATAGGTAGCGTTCAGCACCTCCATGCAGAAGGTGCAGATGCTCAATGTAGGTGCTGACACTATACCTTAATGGACTAGGAAGCACCTCTAGTGGACACCAGAGTGACTGCCCCTAGAGGTGTTACTAACCAGCAATGTAAACACTGCCTTTTTTCTGAAAAGCAGCATTTACAGTAGTGGTGTAAACTGTAGTGGTTCTGGTGACTACAGTGTCCCCTTAAAAAGATGTCTTTCTCTCAGCTGTCAATCAACTCTTCGACATATAGTCCTGTGCTAAAGAAATGAGTTACAGGGAGAGAAGGAGACACAGGTGAAGATACATTTCCCCCCACTGCAAAAAAACGCATCTTTACCTGTTTCTCTTATTTTCCCTTTTGAATTTATTGCTCTCATTTGTGTTGCTTATCCCCTCTTTTAATTGTCTTACCCGCTTCAGTGTATCTTACTTTCCATTCTTTCCCTTTCTATATCTTTTACTTCCTCCCAGCCCCTTTGTGTATCTCTTTCTCTCATTCTCCAGTTCCTCGGTATGTCTCTATCCCCCCATGCAGTCCATATTGTGCCTCTTTCTCCCCTATGCCCCTTTGTTGCTTAGCCCCAGCCCCTTTGTTTCTTTCTCCCCCTAACAAAGCCCTTCTGTGTGTATCTTTCTTCGGCCCCAGCACCTCTGTGTGTCTCTTGTTGGTTATGCATCAATAAGAGACACTGGTAGATAGTGAAGAACAATATTAGGCTTTACTTGTATTGGTAAACGACAAACAGTTATAACATATTAGTTACTTAAAACAGCAGCCAGCAAGGTGAAAGGTAGAAGGAATAGAGACAAAGAGCAAGTAAAAAAAATAAAGAACTTCCTTCCTGTGAGTACCAACAAGTTCATATGCATATATAAGCAGTACTCTGAACTGCACAGCGCCATCTACAGCTCAAGTGCTAATTATATAGAATTTATACAGCACATGCTGTTGTATTTCCCAACATTTCTTTCCCCACAGTCTCTATGTGTCTCTTGTTTCCCTTTCCCAACCCCTTTGTGTATTTTTTTTCTCTTCCCCAGCTCCTCTCTTTCTCCCCCAAGACCCTTTCTGTATCTCTTTCCCCATAGCCCCTCTGTGTGTCTCTTGTTCCTGTTTCCCAGATCCTCTGTGTGTATCTTTGTCCTCCATAACCCCTCTCTTTCTCCCCCTCAAACCCATTTGTGTGTCTCCCCCCACCCCTGTGTGTCTCTTTCTTCCCCCAGACCCTTTGTCCGTCTTTTTCTCTCACCCAGCCCCTCCATACGTCTTATTCCCTTTCTCAGCCCCTCCATGTTCCTCAATCTCCCCTTCAGCTCCCCAATGGGTCTCATCCCTATACAGCCCCTCCATGTGTCTCATCCCCCTAGCCCCTCCATGTGTCTGATCCCCCCAGCCCATCCATGTGTCTCATTCCCCCTAGCCCCCCCATGTGTCTCATCCAGCCCCTAGCCCCTCTATATGCCTCCCCCCTGTGCCTGCTGATCATTGTAGCATGGCTGAGCCGCAGATCATAGTGGAGGAACTTCTGTTCTCCTCCCGGTCTGACAGGAAGCGGT